AGCGATTAGCGCAAAGCTCAAGGATTTCCAAGGGAGGCCAGGTCCTGCCTGCATGGGGAGGGCCCAGAGGGTTGGAGCAGCCTGGAGCCCCAGGGGAGGCAAGGTCAGCAGGCGTCATCAAGGCCGGACTTCACAGCGTGGAGGGGAGAGGAGGACAGAGGGCGCAGGGTAGACTTGCATGTACTTCTGTGGTTCAAAGAGTTTTCTTCATGAATTACTCTTTATTAAAAGTGTCCAAATTCTGCCTGGAAAAATTACTTTCCAAAATCTGCCGTGCAAAGGTAGAAAACACTACAATTTAGGTGGAATACGAGTGATAGTAAAAAATGTTTCCTGCGTTTTTCAAAACACATTCATCGACCCGCTGGTACCTTTTATAAGGCAAGGAGGCATAAATATCGTTGTTTAATGTGCTTAAACTTGATAATGGAGTCGCGTGCCCGCGGTTCGGGCCACCTCAGCTAGTAAAGCGGGCAAATGGCACAAGCTGCTCTTGGGTTACAGCCCTTTCTGCTCCGTCGCTGTCAGGGAACCGCTCGGCGCGCACCTTGGGTTGGAAGATCCAGGTTCGGGAGGCGCCTGGACTGTGGATCACAGGGTCCCTGGAGCCAGACCCGCCTCCTGAACTGTGCCGCGGTCCCAGTGCCGGAGCAGGGACTCCAGCCCCGGAACACGCTTCCGGGTCTTTACAGCAGCCGGGCTTGAGGAGGGAGAGGCGGCACCTTTGAGTTGCTCCAGAGTCCGTTAGGAAAGGTGTGGACCGTGGGAGGGGAAGGGAAGGGACTTGCCACAAAGGGGTCTCCGTGGACTGGACCGCAGCTGCAGGGAGGGCGGGAGTTGGGGCGTGGCCGAGGTGGGCGGCTCCGGAGTAGTGATGGACACTCAGGCGCGCAGCCCTCCAGATGCCGGGGAGGAGCCCATGCACAGAGATGTTAAGTGACTGGTCCAAGGTCGCACAGCTAGCTGGTGGAGTGATGAACCGGGAGCAGTATGGAGTCTTCAAAGGCCTCTCCCTGCGCGGCAGACGCCTGGTTCTGTTCTTGCAAGGAGCCTTTAGGGTCTTGGGCGCCCCACTCTTTTGGTTAAATTGAGAGGAGGGGAGCGCCCCCAGCCTGCCACAAAATGTGACTTCTCAGCATCCGCAGGTTCCCCATTGCACGTGCAGCCTGGCGTGGTTCTCTAGGTCTTGACATGGCTGCGGCCCCCATGGTAACGCCCAGACCCCACGGGCCTGGGACCCGGAGTGCGGGCGCTTTCATGGCTTTCGCACCGCCACAAAATGGGAGTCCTTCCGCTAGCCTCTTTAAGGGCTCAGTGATAGGGACCTGACGGAAGTCACGCAGCTGCTAATTCATGGAGCCGGGATTAAAACCGGGTGATTTTGTTACCAGCCCAAAGTCTATGCGCCCGATGTTTAGAAAAGCCAAAACTCAAAACATCAGAGTTTGGAGTAAGGAAAGGTTTATTGATTGAGAAGGTGTGAAGATAGAACCCCTAGTAGTTCCTCAAATTTATCTTAAGGAATTACAGAGTTCAGCTTCTTTTAGGTCAGGGGAAGGGGAAAATGGGAGGGGCTGTTTTCTGGGACTCAAGCAGCAAGCAGAATTCCTCTAATGATTAGCGCTATTAGCCTGAAGGCCATGGGGACAATTCAGGGTTGGACAAGATGAAGGCAGAGAGACCGAGCATTTCACCGTTAGAAGCTGGGCCTTGGCGGTCCGAGGTCACAGCCCCTGGCCTGGTGGGATGTGCGTCCTTGGGCAAGTCCCTTCCCTTCTCCAGACAGCCGGCCGTCCGCCCGGCCCCGCCCTGCCGTGGCCGCGCAGCGGTGCCCGCGGAGGCAACGGCGGCCCCCCAGCTGCTTTGCATTGACGCCAGCAGCCACTGGAGGTCACAGCTGGGGGCTGGGCGCGGCGTGCTGCCCTCAAAACCCGGCCAGAGCAGGAGCCGGAGCCACGCGGCCCGGAGCTCCCGGGTGA